TCAGCCATTCAATTAATTACGGAGAGTCTTCAGGGAATTGCCTGGGTTGAAATGGGTGTGTCTTTTTGTGGGTACCCCTTGCTGGGGGCTTTTCAGGGAAACCAAAAAGAACACCAATGCCATTTTGCGGGGTCCGAATCCGAAGAAAAGACGTGAAGCCTGTTGGTAACTTGGCCTCCGGCCAAATTTCTCTCTCCCATCGGAGCAACCCTCACCGCATGCCAAGGTTTCCACGGCCCGTCACTGGTCCATGTTAGGCGAATTTCGGCGTGAGCTCGAATTGGCCCCCCTGGCCCAAAGCGCACCATGTGTGTATACTCAGATATGTCCTCTTGCGCTGAGCACCTGAGTGTACATGTATATCATTTCACGGATCATTCTGGATCTGGAGGCCACATGGGAAGGGCTTGCAAGCACAGAATTCGACAAGCCAAGCGGTTGGCTGTGGCTTGTGCTTTCGCAGAATGGCTTGTACAGCGCCCCTGTGCTGAACCGAAGGCTCGCACAGGCGAAGAAACGATGCACGAGGTTTGCAGGTGCCGGGCGGGGGACATGCATGGCCGTAACCGGCCATACTGTAAAATGGCCACTTGCTTGAGACCTGCTCTATTTCAATCACGCCAGGCTCCCAGTGCACCCCTTTTCCTCCGTTTTCCCTCAGTGGTTGCATTTTTTTGAGCCCCAGAAGCCAAATGGTGAGACCTGGAAACCGAACCAAACCGCCGAGTCGGGGCTGAGTTTGGGTTCCCTGAGTTGGTTCCCCAATTCAAAGCTTTGGACCCGGGGACTCGAAATTTCGCTTTTTGGGAGGAACAATGCGCATCAGGCAACGTATTTTTGTTTGGCGCTTTGGATCAGTGATTTGAACGCCGGGTTCTTGTAGAGAGTACATGAACGTCCGATCCAAATGAAGCCAAACCAAACCATAATAGTGGAATCTGATATACTTTGAGCATGACTGCGCAAAGACGGGGGCTTTGCAAAGAAATTTCGGGTGTACTCCATGCCGGGCATCGGCAGTTTCAAAAAAAAACAGATATGGGCGGGACACGGAAGCAGAACCTCGTTGAGTCAGTTTCGGTGGCCTTCCATGGTCAATTTTTTGCCCGGCACATCGCAGCTTGTGTAGCCAGCGCCCGGTTAAGAGCAACGGTCCTTTTTCGCGCCTTACCGAAGGCAGCGGAACAGCGTCTGACAAGGCGCCGAACAAATCGATGCGTTTTCGAGGAGAAAAGGCCGTGCGCGCGGAGATGGTAATGGACTGGGCATCAGAAAGGCTTTTGGCAAGCCTTTGGGGGTCATGTGGCCAAGGGATAACCTGGACCACCAAAGGACCGATTCCTCTTTTCAGAAGGAATTGGTCCATTGGAGGTCAAGCCTATCAAAGGCATAGATGCGTTTTGCCAAATGTCTTGCGCTTCAGCGAGGCCTCGGCGCTCGTGCTTGGAGCTACAAGTGCCTGTAACTTCCTGGAGTCATGGCCCTTTGGTTTGGTTCAGGAAAAACCCGGTTGCCCAGTGGAGCCCCCTGTGTTCTGCCTTTTTTTTTGGGAAGGGTTACCCTTTAAACTCAATCGTCCAAGAACGGAAGCCCTTTTTGTCCCATGGCCATTGGGCAGCTGAGAAATGCCAAGTCCTGAGTGTCATGAATCCTTTTTGCATGGAATCTTGAGGCTTGACCGGGCTACTCTGCCATGTTCTAGGCACGTGTTATCCCTTGTGGGGGGTCGGATTGCATCATTTTCCAGATGTCAGACCCCCTCTTTGCACCAACGGGCAGCAAACGATGCCGTTGTTCATTCAGATGGTGACCTTTGAGTGCTGTCTTTGTTGCTTCTGATTTCAGGTAAACCTGAGTAATTAGGTGGCTTATCCTCCAAACCACCCATCCAAACCAAAAGCTAGAGGCAAGCTAAGTATTGGCTCTCTTTCAGCTCGAGATTCATTCTGATGGAACAAGTTCGCTTAGCCAAGGGACGAATTTGTCACACGATTTCATGCATTGAACTTGGGCGCACCCTGGTCAATAGGAGTCACCCTGGTCAATAGGAGCGCTCTGGCCCTGACTTTTGCAACTGAAGCTGTCCCCAGTTCCGTGGATGAGGATGAGGGGCAGACCCTGTAAAGCGTGCAGCCACATGTTTATTCAGGCTGTTTTTTGAGGATGAGGCGGGCAAGTTCTGATGCTTTTCATATTTCAGCTCAGAGCGTCCGGGTGCTAACATGTGCTAACCTCACTTGCCCAAAACGAATCGACCTGAAATGACCGTTTACTTTTTGGCCACCATGTGTAGTCATGTCATGGCCCCAAGAGGTGACCACCCCTCATTTCTGGGTCCCAGGGCAACTGAGTACCCGAAAGACGTGGCTCAGACCGCTTCGCCGCCCCCAAAGAGGAAGGATGCTCCGCAGGTGCGGCTGCCGATATGCTGATATGAAACACAGTGGGGCTAAATGGAATACAAATTATTTTTTGAGAGGGGGGGTTGAAACACAGAGTTTGGAAAATTTTGTTTATATAGAGTTACATTGTTTTTAGGTTCCCATTATTTTTTGCCATGATGTGAAAGCTCGGTTTACCCTACAACCCCATTCCAATTATTGATCGATCCTTGCAGTACATATCATGTTACTTACGCGAAGTGCACTCCCGTTCTTCGTGGGACGCCTTTGTTGAAGATTATTTTTTGGGATACCGAGGTCGAAGTTGAAACATTGGCGAAATTGACACGTAGATCGACATTGGGACAACTGGCAGGCGTGGTACAGATTTTCAGGAAAGAAGCCATGAATCATTGCCAGCCGCACAAATCATGGAAGACCCCCAAACGTTGATGTGAGGAGCAGCCCACAACCTGTTCATTGAACATTAACACTGACAACCAGGGGTCAGTTCCATTGAATCTGTCGCCTTGTCGGAACTTTTGATACACAGTCCCTGTCACAATGGTTTTTGTGAGACATTGCGGCGTATGATCTCTACACGCATCACGGCACATGGCGCAAATGGCAGAGCAATCTCTGTTATATGTTGCACTTGGGATAAACACACGTATATACGCATTTGTATGTGTATATAGATAAGACTTTGTGCATCATATGGATATACAACAGCATACATGCCCACATGTGTGTATATATGTATATCTATCTATATACATATGTACATGTACATCAAGGTTGAACAATCGGTTGGTTGGTTGGCAGGGGTATTTGTGTTCGTGTGCTTGTTTGATTTGTTGCTTCCATCTTGGGTGGTTGATCGGTTGCTTGGTTCGAGTTACTTGGCCGCTTTGGTTCGGTTGCTGCGCTCTGTGCCACGGCTCGCTTTGTTGGATATGCTCGGTGTTTGGGTGAGGAGTGGGCAATATTGGCTTTTGGCTATTGGGTCATGAGCAGTCAGAGGGGCTGGCGTGTTGGGTGGTTTGCGGTTTGGCCGGATGGGCGATGAGTGCTTGACCTTATTATGACGGTCCAAAAAGTAACACGCCTTATTCTCCTGTGATGACTTCATTTGGCTTCATAGTACCCCACACCCATAGTGCTGCTCTTATGGTACTTATGCACACACGTTTCTCGGTTGCAAATGAAGGCTTCAAATGCTTGCCACACACTTTATTCTCAAAAAACAAAAGACATTTGTCTTTAAGCAGCCTTCGCATGCTTGTCACTTTGCTAGGGTTCAAACACATGAGTTCAGAAATTGGGTGTTTCAAATTTTCAGGAGCTCAATGCGGTGTATGACACAAAGTCACCGCTGACTGTCCCTTGCTTGAAAATTCCTCGTCTCCAGGGTGTGAGTCAGGCCTGGCGGCTGGTTCCTTGAGTCCATGAATAGAAACTGCGCTGGCTCCAAAAGTTTTTCTCACCATGACCTTTGGACCTTTGCTTTTGCCTTAGAACCGCCACTTGGGGGGGGCTGCTATGTTGATCTTCCATCCAAAAGCCCTGCTCTTTCTGCAGGGCTTTGCGTGGGCGGCGCCTCTCGCGGGGCTTCTGCTCAGGCAGGTTGGGGGGACCGCGGCCCGACTTCCGAACTCGAACCCCAGTGAAAGTTCCCCAGAAGTGCCAACACTGCCTTCTCACCAGCCTGCCAACCCCCCGGCAAAAGAAAAAAGAAGAAGAAGAAACAACAAAGAACAAACCTCGAGACAATTTCGAGGCCAGCTTCAACAAGAAGGATCCAACACGAAACTTGTTTGGTGATCGCTTTGAGGTTCGGAGCAACCCTAGAAACTTCAAGCAAGCTCACAGCTCTCAGAAGCCGCTTCAAAAAAGCCGCGCCCAGCAAGCAAAACGACAACTTGAGACAAATGCAAGTGCACCACTCTGAGGGTGTGCCTCCACAAACTTCGATTCGGGGCCCAGGCGGCTTCCCGCCCCGTCTTCCCCTTGAACACCACCCCAACAACACCTGGCTTCCGGCTTCTGAAGCCCTCTGGTGCAGCTCCCACAAAAACGGCAAGGCCATGGCCACGAGCTTGGCGTCACATTTTCGAAAGTCCAGTGATGTCAGGTGGCTTGGGGAGTGGAAGTTCTGGTTCTTGTGGAGTCACGGGAAGCAACCAAACCTTCACACCACAAACCTAACCACAAACCACCGGCGAGTGGTGCGAGAGTCTCAGTGCGTCTCATGACTCAACTGGTAGACCCTTAAAAATGGAATTGGGGCAAGGGGGATGAATCCTGGAGATCACACCTCCGGCATGTAGTGGCAGAGAGTCTCGGTACGTCTCTTGACTCAACGGGGCCATCCCCGCCCCCTTAATGGATTTTTTGGAAGGGGGGGTGAACAATTCTGGAGACCTCCATTCATGGTTTCATCTTCCTTCTTGGGAAGACTACCCTCCCACCACTAACATGGAAGTGCAAAAAGGCCCTTTCCAAGAGGAAAGTAGTCTTTTTACAGGGGTCTGTGCACTTCCGTTCGCTGGAGGGTAGATCAATGGAATTTGGGTCTCGCATCCCCCCCCCAACCCCCTCCTTAGGAAGGATGAAACGGAGCCAGGGGAAAAGCTGCTGAGCCTGGAGCAGCAGGGGGCGCTCTCGAAGCTCACGCTGCGACGGCCCAAGAAGCTGAGCCACGGCAAAGCGAAGCGAGGCGATCATGGGTCTTTGGGGGTTTGACGGTTTGAGGGTCCCCCAGCTAGGTGCCAACTTTTACAAACTCCTGGACCTGAACCACGCTTTTGGGGAAGAGCGGTTTGAATCAAAGAAGCGTGCACTTTGGCCAATCCCCTCAAGAAGTGAGTTGATACATTCTTCAAACAATTTTGTGGGGGGTTGGTCAAATAGAATTTGCCCAACCCTGGTTGAGGGAGCCAGGGAAGTACCATGAAGTACCTGAAACAGGGTGTGTTGCTCCCTCGACCAAACCTCAGCTTCAGTTTTCCTCATGGTTGCCGCTTCTCCGTTTTGAAATCGGAGCAACACAAAGTAACTGCCCTCAAATGAAAGGAGCTGGCTACTGAACGAGCTCACTCCGAAGGCAATCGATTGATAAGATAGGATTCAAAGGTGCATCCGCCCAGCAGATGGAAGGTCTCTTGACCTTACGAACGTTTCTTCTTGCATGCTCATCCAGCTGACTTGAAAGTGAACCCCGGACAGGCTGGTTGTTTGCTGAGCTGGTGTTCTATCTCTCTCTATACGGTACTTATGTGTATGTATTTCTATATATACACATCTATGTTAGAGGGGATTGAGCGATTCGCTTAGGAAGTGAATCAGCGACAGTTTTTGATGTTGGCCCTCACAGTGGTTTTGCTATGTGTTTTGCACATCTTTTGGACAGGCATGTTGGCAAGAGTGTTGTTTGCTCCAGGCTTGGTCATGATCAATTTGCCAGGCACAAGACACGGTTTAGACGCCGCCTTTTAGAATGGTCTGTGTTTTTACTTTGTGTCAGTCCCTGGCAAGCATTGGCAAATTGGCGGCGAGCGAGCCTGGTCGCTGTGGGTACCGGGACGCTGTGTGGGTTTTGTTTTGTGTGATAGAATGGTGAGGCCGTGGGTCAGCTTCCTGTTGCTTAAGAAAATGTGTTAACTTTCCCTGTTGGTTTTAAAGGGAATCTATCACTATTGGACACATTTGTTTTTAAAAAAAAAATCCCAGGGGCTTGAGCAAATGGAGGTCAGAGGGTCAGTGTTGGGGGCTGGTGCGTGGGAGCCAAGTGATGTCGGCTAAGGAACTCCTTGTCTCTGCCGATGATCAATCAGCTCAGGCTGGCTCACTGTGAAGCCCCAAAAGAAAGCACGGCCTCAGTGCCAAGCATGCCTCGTCGGCCGTATGTATGGTTGAATGCCACCAAAGGCAAGCTATAGCAAGCTCCGGGGCTCATGAAAAAGGTCCCTGCTCCATGTTTATTGTGTGATGGCGTGTTCTTCCTTATGTCGCCTGCTCACTCACTGGCCTGCTTGGCTTTGGCCGACCACTCGCCCACGGAACAAGTGGTGCATGATTGTCATAAGTGCATGCCATCACAGACGCGGGCACCGTTGAGCCCCGGCTTGGCTTGGATGCTCCTCCTTTGCCCTTTTTCAGGGCAAACAACTAGCAGGGATACAGGGGGAACCAGGGATACGGGAGGATTCCCCCTAAATGCACCTTGATCAAGTTTAATATGGGAAATGGTGCCAAGGGAATCCCCCCCCTATCCCCGCTCCCTTCGTATCCCCGCTTGTTCTTTTGTCCAACTTTTGGTTGGTCTCCCTGGCATGTTGATGGAAGGTGCAGGCTCGGAGGCTCCCCTTTTGCGGTTTCAGGGCCCATGGCCTCTGGCCCTCAAATCCAAAACAACGGGTTAGCGTGAACCGAGATCGAACATCATGTGCCGGATGCTGGGGACCCGTTTGGGACCATCTGGGAATGTCTCAAAATGGTGGACCCGTTTCGGCTGGCATTTTCAGGGGAAACACGAGGAAATCAGCCTTTAGCGGAACCCCATTTTAGGCAACGCCCATTTGTTATAGCCCAAATGGGGGTCACCCAATTTCCCTGAGGCAGGCCTATTCGCAGCTGAGCGGGCCGAAAGTGATGCTCCTGGACGGTGAGGGCCGGGCCTTGTGTGCCGGGGGCGATGTGGCAGAGGTGCGGCAAGGAGCACAAACCCGCAACGACGATGCGAGCGGAACATGATAGGGCAAGGGCGCAAGATGCCAAGAGGCAAACATCAAATCAGATGCACAGTACTGTACATATCTATATATATATACATACATATATATAATTATCTATACACATACACATATGTATACATATTACCAGCACACCAATAACAAACACGATACAAACAATAGTAGTGATGACAAAAATAAAGATAATAGTACAAATAGTGAGACGGAGGATGAGACTAATCATAATGATAGTAGTCAGTGATCATAGCAGCAACAATGCTACTACCAAAAACAATGCAATATGCATATACATGCATATGTCTTTGATTCGTTCCAACCCTTTGCTTCGCCCCAATCGGCATTTATGGTACCAGGCCAAGTGCCATCACGTTCGGCCTCTAAATGGATAACCCATTACTTTGTGTACAATTCATAAATTTTATACTGTCCTTGTCAGCGAAGTGTCTGTTGAAGTGCTTTAACCCCGGGCTTGTTTGGGTAGTCATGTGCTGGCCGCCAGCCTACGATGCTTTTCTGCACCAATTTCCTCATTGAAGTGATGAGGTTTGAACTTTCGAGCTGCTAAGTTCAGCTTTTCAAGTCAAGAGACGGAGCCCCAAGCAGAACCCTGCCACAACAGATTCCTCTGACAAGGGCTTTGAGTGGTTTCTTGTGAATCTGCAGGGGGGTGGGGGGACGAGGGGGGCGGGTACTTCAGGAGTGCTAGATGGCACCAGCTATCCCGCGGACTTCTTCTATGAGGAGCATTTTGGCTCACACGTCCGTTGCCTTCTTTTCTGGGGTGGACTTAGGATACATTTTACATTTTACCAGTGACTCCATGTGAAGCAGACAGCAAAATATACATTCTATGACTGGGCCTAGCTCTAATCATGTTTTGAACCCCGCCCCAGCAACATTTTCGCCTAGAGAGGCTGCGACAAGTGGAGGGTTCCCTGGGATCCCGGTTTCGAGTTCAGCGGAGCCTTTTTGAGTTTCATCTTTGCAAGGCCAGGTCTTGCTGGAAACCATCGTTTCGCCCTGGTGTAAACTCTGCGGATGCGTAATTGACTCCCTGCACAACTTTCATGTGATATGACAAGGAAACGGCAGCATTTGCCTGTGCCGCCTATCGACATTTAACTGGGTAGAAAAGTCCTGCTTTGATGCCAACCCACGTGCTTGTGGGGAATTCGTCATTTCAAAGGCCTTGCGGCATCACGGAAGTGTGGAATTCCTTCTTACGAGTGTTCCCTTGAGGCGCCCAAGGGTCCAGGGTGGCTGATCGCGTCTTGGCTAAATGTGGCTCAAGGTATGCCCTGGACTATGAGATCGCCACCCTCTTCGAGCGTAGCCGCGTCCTGCAAGTGTCGCTTTGGGATGGCATCGTTGCCTGGCGCGGAACAGACTCAGTGCTTTGTGACGGTCCTGCACCAACTTGCAGCAAAGTGACTCCACGTTGGCGGTCTCCTTTCAAGTGCAGTCGTTGTCTTAACATGTGAGCCCGTGCTTTCCCTGGTGTTTGTTTAATAGACTTGGGGTACCTGAAATTGGATCGGCATTTTGCCCGAGAAGTACCTTTGTTTCATCCATAGTAGGGCAGTTCTGGTCTCTGGGCAGATGAAGGCAGCGCAGGTTCCCACCGCCTCGAGTCGAGGGATTTCCATCGAAGCTCATGACCGCGCTCTAGGCCGGTCTTGTTTTGGGAGAGCAAACATGGCGATTTCCCAATCAAAGCACACCGTTTGAAGGTGCCAAGAGTCCCGTGCTCACCGATTACTGAAAGGCTCGGCGTGGGTTGTTTCAGTGCGCCGTGCTTCGAGCGGACCAAGCTCCCATCAAAGTCAGTGGGCCTGGAACACCGGGCTCAGAACGAAGCGACTTCTTTCCAAATGCGATACTTGGCATCCAAGTGGAACATGTGAACGTCGTTGCTCCAGCGGTGGCAAACCTGCCAAGTTCCCAACCACTTGGGGGATGTCAAGGTGTTCACTCAAGGGCGCAGCGGTCAAAAATTAAATTGGGTCACGCTTAGTCAAAGGGACATCATAGAGTGGCAAGGTCCTTGCCAACACCAGCATTTCCCCTGCCACTCTTTTTAAGATGTGCTTTCCGAAGCATGAAACTCTGTCTGCGGCGTAGCAACAAGCTAGACTAGGTCTAGGAGCATCCCAGTCTTGCACATGCATCGCGAAGTGTTATTTCTGTCCCATGAATAGCCCTGTGGACATTTAAGCTTCCTCACTTGCACAAACAGTACAGGCTCCTGGGGTGTATGCTTGAGGCTTGGATGCTGTCAGTTCGTTTCTCTCTCTGAGAACCAAGCCACAGGAAAATAAGGCAGCCCAATGCCGTGTTCTTCCATGGATATTTCTCTAACATTCCCGTTGCTCCTAGTAGTTCCCATAAAGATGAAGGGCAACTAGGTTCGGTTTCCTTTGCTTTCCACTTAGCAGGTACGGGTGATGCCCCAAATATTGCAACTAGGGAACAAAGGAACAACGTGTAGGGCATCCACTGTACCCTACCCTTGTTACACAGGTACCCTTCCAGTCGCTATAGCCATCCCAAGGTCATGGGTGGAGGTGTCGGGTTGTCCATCCACAGCCCCATCCGCATTGCCACAGAGAAGACCATGTTCGCGATGCCGGAGACAGGCAGGAGGCGAAACGGGGAGGCTCGAGATCTTTGAGTATGTCTGACGTGACACGAAAAGAAAACAACAAACACATCTTTGGGCGTTCTCCCCATTTGGATACTTACCCGTAGGTATGAGCCTTTGGCAATTTACCATCGCTTAGCGCTAATAGGAAGAGCCCTGGATCCATCGCACGCTTTCCTTTCCATAAATCTATAAGCTGCAAGAGCTCAACGCGCTGAAACATGGTTGACATGAAGCGTCGACGGACTCCTGAAAAGGATGCTAGACTGATTTTGCCGCGTCGCCCGGGTGAAGTGGAATGACGCAAGGCGCCAAGGTCATGAATTTGCATGCTGCGCGTTCACAAAACAGGGTCGCTGGGCAAGATGGCAACCAACCTCATTTTTCAAATGGTGCTTGCACCTGCGGAAGCCATGCAAGCCATGCAGTCCACAAACCAACAAGCCAAGCTCACCAGCTGACCATGCACAACCCACGAGCTCCCAACGATGAACCCGCCAACCTCTGGCCTTGCAGGCATTGGTCTCTTCCCAGATGTGGGGGCCACCTGGGCGCTGACAAGGCGCGCTTGCACGAAAAAGTCGCTTCGAGGTCGGCGCGTTTTGGGAGCGTGCTCGGCTAGAAGGCAGGATGCTTGTGAAGGGAATGCGGTTGCAAGTGATGTTCGAGTCCGTGCCAGTGGCGTTTGCACCTGTTCCGAGCCCGTCCGTCAGGCGTCCCTTTCAGCCAGCCGGAGAAGCCAAAACGCGCAAAGGGTTGCTTTTGTTTCGCGACGTCTATTCGCCTTATCTGTGCGCTGAACTACTCTCAATTCGTGTCCGCAACACGGAAGTTCCTTCCAAACTTCCTTTAATTATTGTTGTTTTGATCAAAGGAAGTTTGGAAGGAACTTCCGTGTTGCGGACAATTGCGGATACTAGTTGAAAGTAGTTCAGCGCACAGATAAGGGGAATAGACGTCGCGAAACAGAAGCAACCCTTTGTGCGTTTTGGCTTCTCCGGCTGGCTGAAAGCGACGCCTGACGGACGACCGGCTCGGAACGATTGCGAACGTGGGCCCGCTGGCACGGACTCGAACATGTTTCGCGACATCTTTGCGCGACAGGTGCCTCGGCACCTAGCAAGATAGGTAGATGGTCATAGGTTGCTAGACAGATAGACAGGTAGTAGATGCCGTTTTGTTAGATAGTAGGTAGATAGCTAAGGTGCATAGGCAGATATTGGTGTACGTAGTAAGATGCATGGGCTGATAGATGGATAGATGGATAGGTGGACAGACAGACAGGTAGAAAGTCTAAGTACACAGATGGATGAGAGAAAGATAGATGGTAGAGAGACAGATAGATGGATACATATATATATATATATACACGGATTCAGGTTGGATCAGGTTAGTTTAGCTAGATAGCTAGATAGATAGCCAGAACAAGAGAAAGAGCCAGAGAAAGATCATGTTTCTGCCGACGGGGAAGGAGGAAGAGCTAGAAACAGGAAAAGAGCAAGGGAAAGGGAAGGGACCAAGAAAGGGAAAGAAGAGTTAAAGCGAAAGAGATACGGAAAGAAAGGGAGAAAGAAGAGGGTGCAAGTCCCAAGGACTGGTCTTTGAGGCCCATACCTTAATTATTGACTTCCGCAAGCTGATGAAGCAACACGGGCATCATGCGGGTCGCAAATCCTCAACTCACCCAGCAACAAAATCGTTCACAGGGGCAACTATCTTTGGCCAAGTACGAGGGGGGTTTTACCCCAAAAAAGCGCGGCCATACCCAAATATAGGGGAAACATTACCCAAAAAAGGCGCGGCCAACACACAAAGAAAATCCATGTCTTTCAGTTCAATTTTGATATGTACAGTATTTTAAATTTCACAAATCCAGTCTCAGATTTCTATGGATGGGGGTTTTACCCCAACAAAAACACAATTGGTGGCCATGCCAATTGGTGGCCGGGGGCCACCTGACGCGGCGTAGGCTAAAGGCGGGCAGCAGCGTGGGCCTGCTGCTGGGCCTCACGGGGCTCCGGTTGGGGCCGGCGGATGCCCTGCACGCCGGCGCGGCTCGGACTTCGGACGCGGTCTTTCACCCAGTTCTTCCGGCATTCCTTGCTTTTGCTGGGATTGCTGGGATGTTTCTTATTTCCTGATTTCCGTGACTTTAGTCACTTTTTGGGGTTTGGACCGTTTTAGTGGCAATTAAAATGAGTTGCTTTTTGGCCAATGTTTTTTACAGGGGGTTGTTTGTTCGAAGATGCATTGTTTGAAGGGATGTCTGGTTGCTGACACTATTGGACCGGTGGCTGGGGAGTTTACAGGCTAGTGGTTTGAATGAGCCGGTTTGCCGAGGTGTCCCGTGTCCCTTGCGCGTGCCTCACGCTTCCCTCAATCACGTGCATAGTGCATATCATGTCAGTTGATGCGACGGACTCATCCCAGGGCCCCGACTATTGTTTAGCACTGGGCTCGGTTGAAAATCAGCTACAAACACAAGGCTCCCTTTGCGTGCCCCCATAGTTATAGGGGGGTGGGTTCACTACAGCCCTGCTTGATCAACAGAGGTGTCCCATGTATGGGGCCGAGGCTTTCCTTCGCTTTTGGGGAAGAGCAGCTATTTCCACAAGGTGATTGAAACCCGACCTTGACACGCGGAGCTGAGGGAGGGGATGCAGTGAGGAATCCAAAACGGAAGGGAGCAAGGGATCCACATGCTAGTTAAACGGGTCATGCCAGCCAATTGCAATCACAGCCTTCAGAAGGATCTCGTGATGCGACCGCTCAAACAATTTGCGAACTGGTAGCCTGGGACCAATGGCCACATTAGCGCAAGGGATATCACAACTGAATCCAGGGACATCAGGTTGATGAGCATCCTAGGCCGACTGCCATGTCATGCCTTCCCAGCTGAGGTGGCAACCCATTACTGCCCCTCGGAGAAGTTGCCTTTACTAGCAGCAACTTGGCACAAGGGCTAGAGGATATTGGTGCGAGTTGGCATTTGGGAATTGTGAGGCCTAGCTTCCAGCACCTGTCAGATCACAGATGGATCCCGAAATATCCCGAAAGAAAGGCAGACGGGTGGCCCAAGATTGAAACAAGCACCTGGAAAGATGAGCTGAGCCCGCCTCCCCCAGACAACCAAAGCATGTCTTCACGGCAACACCGTCACCAAATGATTGAGCCTCCAGAATGCAATATGTTCAGCTTCCCCAAAGTCATGTTTTCTTACATGCCTTTTGTTTTAAACTGCCTGCAATCAAACCCTACAAGGGATAGTACTTCAGACCCCCTCCAAAAGAAAGACATGAGCCCAATAATTTTGTTGCTCAAAAGGAAGCTCCAGCAATTAATCACATGGAAACTCAAGCCCACGAATACTAAATCAAATGGTTACTCAATTCAACAAATCTCAACAGGAAGTTCCAACAATGCTAAATCAGATGGAACTCAGGTCCACCAATTCTGAATCAGAGAACCAAATTACTAAATCAAATCCGCAATCAAGATTTGGATTTGAGTTCTTATTTGATTGGCAGTATTGCCGGAGCTTCCTGTTGAGATGTTGTTTCGAGATCTCAGTTGATTTAATATTCGATTCCAAACTCAGAAGGAAGCTCCAGCAATACTAAATAAGATGGAAACTCAAGTCCACTAAATCAAATGGAAACTCAAATCAACATCTTAAAAAGAAGCTCCAGCTCTGCTGAACACAATGCACTGAAATCCAGCAATGCGAAACCAAATGAACATGTCAGTCCCAGAAGTCCAATCAAAAGGAAGCTCCAGCAATGCTAAATCAAACGGATTCTCAGAGTTGGCCCCAGTATTTCTTAGCACAACTAAACTAATCGACCTGCGCCAGGGACCTTTATTCTGGGTGCCTTTTTTGTTGACCCCTGGGCGGGGGGGCCCTTTACTAGCCGAAGGTTGCCATTCACCCATTCGTTGGTGAACAACCTAGTTGCAGTACAGTATGGAAAAGAGAATGCGAGCCGCATGTTTCTTGCTATGGACTCTTATGTAGCCGTTTACCTTTGCTTGCACTTCTTCATTGTGAACATGCACTAGCGACTGCACGTCTCTGCCATGCAAAACTATCATTGTAGCCACTGAAAGTCATCAGTGACTTGTTCCAATACTAGGGGCCGACAGTCAATGTTCACCACGTTGCAATCCAGCACGATTGGACAAATACTGCCATTGGTAAAGAAGTGACTCATTCCGCGGGAGAAAGCAATAGATCATGCATTCAGTGAGTATGGTCTTCAATGACTTACGCACTTTTTGGGGTTTGCTGGGTTCCCCCGCTGAAAAACTGGTCACATGCAGTGAGATATACTTGCCTGGTTCGGGAAACGCATACTTCGTGACGCCCCCTTTCAGCGGTTCAAGAAAGCTGCGCATCCGCTGCATCATGTCCAGAGCGGGTTCCCCACTTCTACTGATGGTCGCTGGTTGCAGGGGCGTCAATCAGGCCGATGACTTGTTCAAAGCTAACCCTTTGGCCTTTGCTTCGCGTTTTTGGTGCGTGAGTAAGGAGGCCAACAAAAATAACATGATATGACCATTGTTTGCATTACACAAGCTACCAGTGTTTCTCTTTGAAAGTCTAAAGTCTTAGCATCACTCGTTTTGGCTGATTTTGGATGAGTTTCCTCGTGATGTCTGAGGAAAAGCTCAGCACCGCGGAGCCAACCATGGAGACCGTCTCAGCGATCATTTCCGAGGCTTTTTCGCGCCACCCCCTTGCGGTTTGTTCAGTTGGCGCATGCAGAGGCACCAAGCTGGGCTCTCCTCCAACACTCGTTTGTAGCTTAGGGTAAGCCCTGAAGCTATAAACATAAGAAACCTCAGCTGAACGCATTCCTTTTCTCTGTGCCCCAGATGTGGGGCCTGGTTGCAGTTGTTTTGTGCAGTTGTGGCATTGAGGCTCAGGCGCCAAAACAAAAAAAAACCATGTAGTGAAGGTCCCATATTTGCCGACACGGCGCGGGCCTGCAGCATGACGCTAGGTGGCCGCCGGTGCCAAGCCCGACACGGCCAAAGCTCAGTTGGAGGCGGAGACCGGGGCCTCCTTTGAGCTGCCAGGGTTACGGATGAGCCAATGACAGCGGCGACTTGGGGAGTTCCACGTTGGGAAGTGGAGAGCGTTGGCAGGTTTGCAGCAAGAAACTTGGAGGCCAACTACACAACAGGCTTCTTGCGGCGGCCCTGTGCCGCATAGAGCGCCCAG